AGAGAGAGAGAGAGAGAGAGAGAGAGAGAGAGAGAGAGAGAGAGAAGCGATACAAGATCGTTGTGCGGCCTAAGGAAGAAGGTGGCGGCTATGGCCACTGAGCTCGGACACGGAGAAGAGGAGTAAAGAAGAGAAAGAGAAGGGACGAAGAGAGGGAGTGAAGTATAGTTGAGGTCGAGGAGGAAGGAGAGACAAAAAAGGGAGAAAGAGAAGCCATACCAAAGGGTGAAGAAGATAAGGACGAAGGCGAGAAAGAAGCCATAGCCGAGGGAGAACGAAAAAGGAATGTGAAGGAAAGTGAGGAGGAGGGTTGGTGACCATAGCCAAAGTTGACCAAAGTGTTGACCAGCATTGACCAAGGAGTTGACCGGGGCGTTGACTAGTGTTGACCAAGGTGACGACCAGGGCGTTAACCGAAGCCATTGACCACGAAGTTTGACCAAGCTGGAGTTGTATACTCTCGCCAAGCCTTCAGCCTATCCCCTCGCCCTATGGATGTGCACACACCCCATGGTACTTGCTGAGTCAATCCGTCTCTTCTTTCTGCATTGAGTCTCTTCTGTCCAGGTGATAGAAACTCTGTGTATGAGGTTATAGAGCTACGTTGACCAAACCCACACGGGCTGAGTAGGGCTAAAGGCCGTCTCTGACGACTGACTGACCTGGAGGACAAACCCTCCCAAGGACCGGTACAGACCGGCGGGCTGCTCAATGTGGCATGGTAGGCCCAAAATTCGGGCTGTGGGCTGCACAACCAGCTGTCTACGTCTTGAGAGGACTTGCTGATCGCATCGTCCTGTGTGCGACGTTAAATAATTCTTGAGGAGTTACAGGGGATCTCCTTAAATGCCTCCTGATCAGCAGTAAGTCCTGTAGTGACAGCCTAGAGGTAGAGTCGAATTAGAGACCATAGTTGACAAGGTTCTTCAAGAATTTTGAGGTCCTTAGTAAGTCAGTCATAAGTTAAGTCAGTTAGGGGGTGAGAGTCTAAGTGGTGAGGAGTGGAACTGTCATCCGGTTGTACACCTATCACCATGGTTGACACGCGTAGTGGTTTGAGCACCACCCCATATACAAAAGAACAGGAAGAGAGTGTCGCCGCCATACTGAAAGAAAGGAAGGAGGAGGCCAAGAAGGAGGCCCTGTTGGAAGCACAGACGGCGAAGAAGAAGAAGCTTGAGGAAGAGATGGAGAGAGTGAAGAGAGAAGAGGAGGAACAACTTAAAGAAGTAGAAGAAGAAGAAGAGGAAGAAGAGGAAGAAGAGGAAGAAAAGGAGATACCCTTGTTGAGGACTGGGAGGAGAGAGGA